TGACCAAAAATGACATGAAAAACTGAATTCTTGAGAAAAGGTTTTAAACAGAAAAATTTCTAAAAATGTTCTCTACGTTCACTAATTTTATGAAAAACATGCAAGAAAAGAAAACATTTAAAAAAAAAAATTTTTTAAACATTTTCATCAAAAATTCTTAGTTTTTGACCAAAAATGACATGAAAAACTGAATTCTTGAGAAAAGGTTTTAAACAGAAAAATTTCTAAAAATGTTTTCTACGGGCACTAATTTTATGAGAAACATGTAGGCAAAGATACCATTTTGAAAAATAATTTTACAAACATTTACATCAAAACATCTTAGTTTTTGACCAAAAATGACATGAAAAACTGACTTTTTTACAAAAAGTTTTAAACAGAAATATTTCTAAAAATGTTTTCTACGGGCACTAATTTTATGAGAAACATGCAGGCAAAGATACAGTTTTGAAAAATAATTTTACACACATTTTCATCAAAAATTCTTAGTTTTTGACCGAAAATGACATGAAAAACTGACTTTTTTACAAAAAGTTTTAAACAGAAATATTTCTAAAAATGTTTTCTACATGCACTAATTTTATGAGAAACATGCATGTAAAGATACAATTTCGAAAAATAATTTTACAAACATTTACATCAAAACATCTTAGTTTTTGACCAAAAATGACATGAAAAACTGACATTTTGACAAAACGTTTTAAAAAGAAAAAAACATAAACATGTTTTCTACAAGCACTAATTTTATGAGAAACATGCAGGCAAAGATACAGTTTTGAAAAATAATTTTACACACATTTTCATCAAAATGTCTTAGTTTTTGACCAAAACTGACATGAAAATCTGACATTTTGACAAAAAGCTTTAGACAGAAAAAATTGTAAAAATGTTCTCTACATGCCCTTATTTTATGAGAAACATGCAGGCAAAGATACAATTTTGAAAAATATTTTTACAAAAAGGTTATAAAATGTTCTGTCAACAGATTTTTATAAAATCTAATTCTATTTCTTCAATCTTTTCACAGACGGAAAGCTTCAGAGAAACCTGATGAAGTAAGTTTTGCTTTTTGTAAGTAGTAAACACAGTATACATACAGTATTTGCAAGGTATTGCACATAAAATAGTTTTTAGTCTGTACGTAGAGTATGCAGGTACCACAACACCAAAACACCAAGGTTAATCGCAATGTCATTCACTCTGATAAATTTAGAAAAAGAAATCTAGGAAAAGTACCTGCAGTACTTCCATGGACCCCTGGGGGGTTGTAAGCCACTTAATGATCCCCCTCCTTACCTGACAATACAAACAAAGTAAATTGTTGTTTTAAATCGATTACTTACCGTTTTGAAGCTTGTCTATGAGCTGATAATGCTCCTCCCTCCAGGGCTACCTTCTCATTTGGTTTTGATGGCTGGTGCACAAAGAGAAAATGCAGGCAGAGGGCAGGGTTGCTGGATGTTAACACACCACCATACACTGTAGAGGGACTTTCTAAAGGATTAAGAAGAAGCTCCATAAGTTAAAAATCATTGTCCAGATAAATATTTTAATGTCCTATAATGTCTTTAAAGTTACCACGAAACTCTTTCCTGATGACATTTCCCTCCTTCCTGCAGGACGACTCCAGTGGTCGAGGCTCAGGTCAAAACTCAACAGGTACAAATCACTTTAATCTCCAGCGTTCATGTTACCTTTACGGTACACCTACAGTACATGTAACGCTAACATGTTTGAAGTAATACCCGCTCTTCTTCTCGACGATAGATGCTTTAAAGAAGCCGTGGGAGAGATCAAACTCTGCAGAAAAGTCATCGCTGGTGTCCAGGTCTGAGTAACAAACACTTTGGTCCTTTTTACAGAGGAAATGAAGTAAAGTGTGTTTGTTTCAGTTCAAACAGAAGGGAGACAGACATAAAGGCATAGTCTAAAGTCATGGTCCAAAAACAAGGTTTATAAACCAGTATGCAAGTCTTGTGACATATTTAAAGATTCTTTTAAGGCCTGTTGCAGCTCAAGAAATTATTTTTCTTTTAACCATTGATTTTTGTAACTAGCTTTTGGCTAACTGTAGCTATTTCTGCGCTACGTTTAGTCTTTTTATTTTAAAAAATGGCTAATTTGTATCTGTTTTTGACTTAGTGAATTTATATTATGAAACAGTTATAATTTGAAACTTTACCCTTAATTTTAGCTAATTTGTTGACTTTTTTCTGACCATTTTCCCTAAATTATTTTACATTATCAGGTTATTTTCTTTTCTTTTTGCTATTTCTTTAACACGTTAGTTTCTAGCATTATCGAGCTTGAAGATCATAATAAATAGTACAAGCTTTGGCCAACATTGGTCACATGAACACCCCTGATCTAACCCTTTCCTAGGAAAAACAAATGAAACATATCAGCAGCAGTAGCCTGTCTTTTGTTGTGTGTTACAGAGTGAGGCCTGTTGGCAGCACGAGTGAGTCAGACACAGAGTTTGACAGAATGAAACAGGTCAGTAGTTTTTCTGTAAAAGTCGTTCTTGTTTGTCACTTCGAACTGAGTAGACACTGAGAGAAGCCTGTTTTTCGTGCAGGAAATTTTGGATGAAGTCGTTCGTGAGCTGCACAAGGTGAAAGATGAAATCATTAACGGTAAGAAGTGCAGAGAGTGGAGGATCCAATGACACAGTATGATGCGTCTGTGGTGTTTTTTAACACAATCACCTCACCCATCTGTCGTGTCTTCCGCAGCCATCAGACAAGAAATTGGCAGAATCAGTACATCCTAATGTCACCTGAGCAACAGTAGGAGAGCGAGGGGAGGAGCCAGAGGAAGAGAATGGACCTGCAGATGCACAGACACGAGGACCAAGCAATGTTCTCTCAATGTTTCTGTGACCTCACGGTGCCGTGACGCACGTTGCAGAGACGTTGTGCCAACATTTGAGTCTGCTGGACAGCAAACATTAAAGGATACACTGAAGTTTGGAAGGATGAGAATGTTGAGGAAAGGACGAGGACGTATGAGGAATGATGAAAGGACAAATGAACTAAAGGAAGGTTTGAGAAACGTAAAGAAGGACTGAGGACGGACGGACGTTTGGTGTCGTGTTCCTCTCTGTGCACCTACTGCAGACTCAGTCAGCCCAGTGTTGCAGCTCTATGTTCTGTTCAGTCCAAGTCTTAAGAAGAAAATATTTTTGTTTTCTAAGTTTTTACTGTTTATTATTTAAAAACTGTGGTGATGATGATGATGATGCTGTTGATGACAATAAGTATTTTAATGACAACACAGAAGGAGAATGGAATCTTGCACACAACGTACGTCAGCTTCTTATAGTTTCCAGGTTTGTTGACTTTGACCCAAACGATTCAGTGATAACAAGCACAATCTGGGCAACGTAGTGGTGCAGCCCATCTCACCAGCCCACATCTGGCATGTTTGACAAATGATCCGGTTCATACTGTGGTAGTTTTAGTGGTCTTTAACCATTTCTCATAAAAGAAAAACATGATTATCTACAAGATGACCTCCTTCTAATGAAGGTCATTTGCACCAGTGAAACAAAAGTCTAAAAAGAAGTCAGAGTCATGAGATGAAAAGTCCTGATTATGAGACAGTAAAGTTGTAATGATTACAAAAATGTCACGAGCAATAGGTAGAAAAGCTGAAACAAAATTCAAACTTTTCTGTCTAAAGTTGACATTATGAGACAAAACGTCATAATTATAAGTTAAAAGTCAACAAGAGATTAAAAAAAGTCAAAAGGTAAAAAGTCAAACTTCATCAGTCAAAAGTTGACAAATAAAGTCATCAGTTAAGAGTTGATATAGGATTATTTAAAAAGTACTAATTATCAGTCAAAAGTCAACAGGAGATGAAAAGTCATAATTATCTGGCAAAAGTTGACACGAGTTAAAAGTCAAAAGTCGATAGGAGAATCAAAATCTACATAAAACTTCCTGATCTATGGAGATAAACGCTGCACTTTAGTATTTGTGAAGCTAGTACTACTGGAATTTTAATCTCCCAGTCGTGACTTTTATTTGATAATATTGACTTTATATTTCCTAGTTATGGACACCGGTTTTATAATCAACTTTACAATCTCATAACTCTGAAACTTTATTTTCACTGGTGGAAACTAGTATTGATTTTATTTTTAAAAAAGAAAAAAAAAGATGTGTAAGATGTAAAGATTTGTTTTCGCAACCTTTTTTTCAAATGTGTGAGATCATCAAAAAAATGGGGATCATTCACTAAACAGCCCGGCCATGTAAATGTGCCACCTGGTTTGACCCACAGTAGATATTAACCAGTGTAGTGAATCCACCGCGTATGCATGAAACCTCCATCGCTTTCAATTTGTTTTTGTTTCCATTTGGTTTTTCAAAGAAGAAAATGTAAGAATAAAAATAAATAAAAATACAAATGGTGGTGCATTTATCATAGTGGTTTGTTTCCAGGAGGATTTCCCTGATTGTATACAAAATATTGAACGTGATAATAGTAGCACTGTGGGGGGGGTTAGGGGGGGGTGTACGGGACGGCGCGGGCTGTATGCAAATGTGGATTTGTGTCTTTGCAGGAAGCTGGTGACGGATGATCAGTTGTCGCATTCTCTCCACTCTGTCCGCTCTCTTTGCTAGATTCTGATTTCAAAGCTGGAAGTAAAGTCCAACAGAAAATGAAAACTGTCGTCAACTTGTCCGTGTGTGTGTGTTAACGAAACAAAGTGTTTAAATTTGACATTTTGTGTGACTTCCAAAATTGATCAAATGGGTCATACTATAATAAGTTGTGCAAAATTTGTAATATGACGTAGTTTGTGCAGCAGTTTAACAGAGTGACTGTGTTGGCCATTGGCTAAAGACTAAGAGTGGTTGAAATCAAACCTTTGATGTTGCGGTTGACAGACGACCTACTCTACCACTGACACCTCCAACATGCAGCGTTTTTTTAAACATTGCAGAGTCTAAAGGAAGAGAGGAGACGACCAGTTAACTACAAAATCATTTCCTTTATGGTTTGACTTCGTATAAAGATTCTTTGTCTGTTTTTACACAACACTTCACAGCAGGTAGTGACGAATCATACAAGAACAACGGACAAAAACAACACGCATTCATTCAAGTTGGTCTGTTATTAGTGTTTGGTCCCTGGTTTCCTTCAAAATATAGATTATTTCGGCTGGTGCGTCATCAGTATATACGTTATTGATTTTGTTATTTAACTCTTTACCTTCCACAGAATACAAACTCTATCAACGTCAGTATGGAGCTGCTGCTGGGAACAAGAACTTATTTTTCTTAAATTCAGTAAAATACAGATTAAATCCAGAAGATAATTGAGTTACAACCTCCACAACACAGCCATCATAAACTAGATTTTCTTACCTGCCAAAAAAATGTATTAATTTTTTTTTTAATTATGTGTTTTTATGCTGTTCAATCTCTTCAATCTTCAAATCAATCTCTGGTTTGCAGACCAGGACTGTCCGTGAAGAGAAAGTCCCTTTTTATATCCAATTAAATCACAGGTCAATAGGTCACCTGAGCTGCTGTGTCACAGGTCTGAAGTCATTGTCTAGGAAGTAAAGAAACCTTGGTGCTTGATAATGCACGTGACCTTTGACTTGTATGTAGAAAAAAATATATTATTAATTTTATTATTATTATTTCTTTAGGCACAAGAACTCAACATCACAAACTATTTACAGCAGGATTTTACATAATTATTCCCAGTTGCATAAAACAGTTTTCGAAAATGTGCACATTTTCTTAGCGACTGAGTCTGTGGGCAGCACAACATACGCTGGTAAGACTACATTTAAGGACACACTTCTGTTTTTGTGTGTGTGTGTGTGTGTGTGTTCAGTCACACTTCTTTCTAGCCTTGTTTGCTCAGGATGTACTTCCGTTTGATTCTGGCGTAGGGGCCGATGCTGTCGTCGAACACAAAGTCCCACAACACCCTGGTCCAGGAAGTATGCTGGGGCAGAGAGTCGTAAAACTCTGCTGCAATTTTCTTGACCTGCGGAAGTGAAAAAAAAAACATTAAGATTTCGTACCAGAGGAAAGGAGTCCGATTTTAGAACATTCAGTGTCAGGCAACAGAAAAAAAGAAAAACACGATTGTAATTTGTTTGGTTGAAAGTTAAACATTTTTTCCGTGAGCAAAATATTTTGAGAGTAGCTGTGGCTCAATGGGTGGTGCTGTTGTCCTAGTCCCACAGGGTTGTGGGGTTTGATGTTTTGTTTCAACAAATCACCACGAGCTTTAAAAATAGCTTCTAAATCTAGAGCCTTTAATCATAAAAAAATAAATCAATAAAATGTTGCAATAGTTTGACAGCCATTAAAACAACAGGTTTGGCTGTAACACTAAAACGACTGGATATCAAACAGGAAACACTTGACCACCTGACAACACCTGTCTGCTGCTCAGGCCCTTAATGTTCTGAATGAGTCCATTGTTTTTTACGGTCTTTTTTTAAAAACAAGTTTTTATTCTGTTACAACCAGAAGTGGTAGGACTGGATTGGTTTCATTGGAGCTTGTTGTGTCCAACAGTTTTATGAACCTCTGTGCTCAACTTTGTCTATATTTAAAGAAAAAAATCAGTAACAAAACCTGTTTTCCTTACATAAATATTTGCACATGATTGAACAAAAATGTGACGTCCAGCGTTTGCTGACAGCTCTTTGTTTCTGACCGGTCTTATCTGCAGGAACCTGAACCTGGGTCTCAGTCACACAGACTCACCTGAGGTAGTTTACTGCCAGGAATGCTGGGGAAGTCATGGTGCTCCATGTGATACCCAACGTTGAAGGTGATCAGGTTCAGTGCTCCGTAGTAGGAATACGTCTCGTGTCCCTTCAGGAACATGTAGTGCTCGGCTATGAAATGTCCAGAGATAGGATGCAGACCCATACTCAGGATGGATCCTGCGATGAGGTAAATGATGGGCTTCACACCCCAGAGATAGAAGATTATTGCATCTGCTGCGAGCTGCACCGCTGTGTTCTGGACCTCCAGCAGACTCACAGGTTTAGGATTGACCACTAGGGGGCGCAGGATGTAAAAAAGCGGCTGGAGGATCAGCCACACAACCTTCCTGGCAGGAGTGCAGAAGAACCATCCCTCAAAATCCGTGGGGATGTCCACATCCAGCTGGTCACCGCCCAGGTACCGATGGTGGTCTATGTGATACTTCTTGAAGGAGGCCGAATAAGGAACCCCTATTGGGAGGTTGGCCCACATAGCAAACCAGCGGTTCCACTTTGCGAATTTGTTGCCAAAGGCCACGTTGTGAGAAATGTCGTGAATTGCCAGCGTTAGGGAATGGTTGATGCAGCCCCCAAAGGCGTAGGCCCAGAAGAAGATCCACTTCCAGGAGAGGTCACGGACCAGGTAGCAAGCTAGGAGCTGGGTTAGGACCATGCCTGACACCACCCACTTCAGCTGGGGATCTGGACCCATTAGCAACTTGATCTGTGGATATTTGGCTGAGGAGAGACAGAAATAGAGATGAATAAATAAACAGACAGATGTTGGTGTAAACTTTGCATCCAATAGTTCCACTGCCAATCATTTATCGCTGATGTAAAACAAAGTTGATATGGTGTTGTCACGTTATTGACTGAAATCCACAATCTCTTCGTATTTCAGAATGTCGATTTGCCACGATTAATTATTGTCCATCGCTGCCCTGTGATTGAATGTTTTTTTTAAATGTTATCGTCTTTAGGAACTTCACACTAGTTTGTGTGGATCGATGTCCATTGGTGCTTTTTCATTACCTATAATTGGTACAAACTCTTATATTTTCATCAGTGTAGAATTTTTGGAAAAAAAATTGGAAAGAGAACCTTGGTAAAGAAAACAAAACCTTTAACTGAATGTTCTCGTTCTGGTAACAGGAGAAGAAACTAGAGGGAACTTGAGGGGAAACGGGAAATAATAGAATAAAAACAATTGATGGGAGAGAAGTTGGTGACACACTGTACACATTTCCCGTCTTAAAGAGGAAGTCCAGTCTTTCTCATGAATACTCCGTTGAAGATTGTTTACCAGGTCAAGTTCAGTCTGTCTGGCTGTGACATGATACTGTTTGGTTTTTTTTTCAAAGAACACAGTCAAGCATGCAGTGAGGATCCAGCCGCCCCACAGGGACCAAACCACTGACACAAGTCAGTATAATTGGCAGAGGTGTTGTTTTGCTGAGGGACATGAAACTTGAGGAGGTGAGAAGAGAAGAGTGAGGTCCAAAAACACTTCTAGACAGCTTTGTTGTTGTGGCTTCACAAACACCGTGCAACACAAAATCTGAGGCCTGTCTCTTTGCTCATTTCCAGCTGGTTATCTCTGATGACTGGTCATCCCCTCCACAGGGGGTTTCATTCATCTAAAGTTTGAAGTATGGATACTATCTAAATAAAGAATTGACGTAACCATCTGGTCTGAGAGACTGAGATATATATATATATATATATATATATATACTGTATATAGTATATTTGTGTATGTATATATAAACATATACACAAATATACATACACATATACACACAAACACGAACTTACATATTTACATGCATACATAGTACGTACATACTGTAAATTCCCAGCCTGGGATCAACAAAGTATATCTATCTGTCTACTGTATATCAAGATAAAATATAACATAAAAATACATAAATGTAAATCTATATGTATGTATTGTCTTTTGTGGTTCAGAGCACTCTACCATGGTCTAATGGCCTATGCTCTGCTCTCCCTCTCCCCAGTCAGCTCATTTGCATACATCTCCCATGTAAATGGAACTTTCCCTGACAACTAAAAGGCAGAAACAAACCAGCACTGAATTCTCTGTCGCATGTCGGTCTCCCTTTCACTAATCAAAGGTAAGTCATTGGGTTAAAGTTTAACCACAACAGGGAAACACCCTTCTGCTTCAACATACAGTCATTCAACACCCTGCTGTGACAACATCCAGCTTTCAATACCTGAATTAATCTGCTGTATTACAGTATTATAATGTATGACTTCACCTACAGTACTGGTTAGTCTGTTCCTCATTCCATCTGTGACCATGTTTATTAGCGATGCTATCTCAACTGCTAGCTCCGTAGCCAAAAGACACAAAGTTAAATCAGTAACAAGGCATCATAAAATACAGAGGCTGAGTTGCTGTGAGCTGTGTTCAGTCGCCAGATCATCTCTGCTTCACTGCCACCATGGTTTACACTTCAGCTGTGCCTTGCAGGGAGTGAGTAAATGAGTAAAAGGCTCCCAACATTTAGATGGATGGACGGATGGATAGATCTTTTTTAATCCCTTGGGAGTTTGTTAAAGCTAACGATTATGAACTCGCCCGTGTCACAAGGACAGACGATAAAAAAGTTTACAATATACAGAGTGCAGCCGGACATAACGCTATTAAGGTCACAATTGTCACAGGTTCCAAAATACTGATGAGTACCAACAAAGTTCAGCGTCCACAACACCATTGTTTCATTCTCTAGGAAGAGGACGAAGATTATAAGAAAATGCTTTAATAATTCAAGACAGCTAGGTGTCAAACAGCCCATAACCCACTGTGGAAACTACAGCAAGGTGGCAGTGGCACAAAGCCAGGATTATAAATACAAAAAAAAAAAAAAAAAGAAAACGAAAAAAATGAAAAATCACCATGTTTAAATCTAACAGTCAACGTGTCCACCTGCTAATCAGACAGCCAGGACACGAGAGAAAAAGTACATACAATTATTACAAAACCTTCATCAGTGTTTTCTCTGTATGATGAAGGACTGACAATAGCTGGGTTTTTTTTCTTCATAAATGAGTATTATTCTTTCAGGAATCCTCCCTGATCCCCTGACTCGCATGGCATTGTGGTTGTGTTTGTCGTGAAAAGGGAATGTGTCTTGTTACCTAGTGAGCCCACGGGCATTGTCAGCTGCACCTGCTATGAATGCAAGTCAGAGAATGGGAAGATAACGTGAGGCGGACTGGTTTACACCAGCACCAGTTATCATTTCATTCTATTCTGTCAGTCAGGGCTCTTCGTCTTGTCAACCAGAGGTTCCTCCAGTTTTAAGTACTCATTTCGTCCAAGTATTTGGTCTACAGAATTAGTATCCTTGTGGTATCTTAATAATTTGTTTTTGTAACCCTTTTTTGTTATATACAGTATATATCAGGCATGGGCAAACTAAGGCCCGGGGGCCAGATGCAGCACGTTCGGCTTTTTAATGCAGCCCGCCAAACTTTTCCAAATTATATAATTTATTTATATTATCATCATACCGCTGCCTTTTCCCTGCAATACCCATGTCTCTCTAATAGATATCGTAGAAAATGATAAAAGTATTTTAGCATTTTAGCCTTTACGCATGACTTTTATGTCTTGACTAACTTTTATTTATCTTAGTTCACACGAACGCTCCATGAACAGCCCCTCTGTTCAATTCCAGGACAATTGTGGCCCACAAAACAAAAGGTTTGCCCCAACTGAGATATATGTATATATATATATACACATATATAAATATACATATGTATGTATATATATGGTTTAATGTTCATTACTATATGTATATGCTATATGTAACTATTTCAGTAATTCTTTCTCACAGGTATGTGGGATATGTATGTCCATACATATATATTTATCCTCATCAAACAAGTTCTTTGTTACGAATTGTTTGCACTATTTCTGGGACGTTTCAATCAATGCTTCTGATGTGCAATGTTTGTAGTTGTCTTAATGACAATAAAGTTTTATATATACTCGCTCCGTAAAGTTACTGGTTTACCTTGCAGGGACGTGGATCTCTGTGTGGTTTTACCTTATCTTTTATTTTATCTTTACAAGCAGTGCAAACATTTCTGGGTGAAATTATATAAGCGTGTACTATCAACACAATGGAAACGTAAAGATAAGAGTTAAAACCTCTAAATGAAGACGACATTTAGGACTAGGAGGATTATCATGGTACTACCGTACATATTTAAATTGGGGGGAGGTTGAGTCGCATCATGGAATTCCAAATAATTTTTATTTTAAATTCATTTTAGATATTTTTAACTACACAAAAAACTTTTAAAGCTCCACAACAAGTCAACATTTTTTTGACTAAACGACATTATTGTAAAATACCAGAAGTTTTTACTTGAACACCATGGTCAATGAAACGATACTTGAGCTAAGTTGGTGATCTTCATTGGGACTTGTGAGAGTTTCTACACGGACACATTCTGCAGTAACATCACGGTGGACTGCGGTTCGTCAAGCAATGGCTAGTAAACAGGTTCAACCGGCTACAGGTTTACAAGGAGAGAGAAGCCGGCGCCTGAACACAGCGACACCGACGAAGCACTCACGTTTGTGGAAGGACATGAAGTAAAGTCAGCTTCTTACCCAAGATTTCTTTCCTTCTGGAGGTGTGCGGCTGGTCCGTGTAGACCCATTCAAAGTCCCCTCGTCCCCCTGTCTTGCCCATGACTCTCCACGGTGTTTCTGTCTCTCTGTCGGTGTGTGAGCGTTAGTATGTGGTAACTGCTGATGTATGTCATCAAACACTCACAGTATCAGGACCACACCCACTCACACACAGGTGGAAGAGTAAGGTGCAACGGAAAAAGAGCACGCCCACCAGCACAGGGAGCGGGCGGGCAGGAGTCCGGGCGGTTTGTGCCTGAAGGGGATCAACGACAGACAGGGACAGGGGGACAGAGACAGACAAGGAAAACCTATATAGACAGTCCCGAGAAATACACCACTAGATAGATGGACAGGCGTGAAATCTTCTTAACCTTTCACCCGGCAGATGAAAAGACAGTTTTTAGGCTAATGTGTCTATAACCCGTCGGCATATTTGTTGTTTACTGTTTTTTGAGTGTTGTTTTAACCATAGGCGGAGTTTGACTTTTGCGTCGTAGGCTATTACACACATACAGACAAAAAAACATAAAGTGCAACTCTGTTGTCACAATTAGAAGATGCCCAACAGCAGTTGTTACAGTATGGTTGTAAATACAGTATAGACCTACACATGTTAAATAACGTGTCCTAGTACAGAAGTAAACGCCGCAAAGTGAATGATCGTTTTGTCTTTCTAAAATATTTTTGTAGGAAATTACAAATGAGCAGGCTGCTTGGGACAGTAGTGCTTTTCACCAAGATCATTTGGTGGTGGCTCTGCTATGGGCAAGCTGGCTTATAGGCCCGATGGCAGCCCCGGTGCTTGGCCTGGAGTTAGCTGGGCGTGCCATTCCAGAGCTGGTCCCGGGTGTTTCCAGGTCTGAATCACACGAAGGCCCGGGTAGCTCTTGTTTAACTGCTGTAGTTGAAGAAGTACGCTTTAAAAATGGCTGAATATCCATTTTTGGTAGGACCCATTTACTGATAGCTATCCTATTAATGAACGAACGATTGAATGCTAAAATGAGAGGGAAACTGTCAATGTCCGTTCCTCATGCAAACACAGGCTACATATCCAATCCCTAGTGTGTTTCTTATTCTATCCGAACATACATCCAATTCATATTTCAACTTTTACTTTTTATAAGTGCGTAAATAATAAGCAAACGTGATTTTAAAAAATTCAAATTCCATTGTTCGTTCTAGCTGCTTTCAGTTGTTCTAGTACTTTAACTTAAGGTTAAACTTTTACTTTTTGTAAGTGCGTAAATAATAAGCAAACGTGATTTAAAAAAATTCAAATTCCATAGTTCGTTCTAGCTGCTTTCAGTTTTTCTAGTACTTTAACTTAAGGTTACTTTAACTTAAGGTTTTTAACTATATTTATAGTTTTGACACTTTATAAACAAATACTAATACACATAATAAACCAATAATAAAAATACCTAAAACAGGTGTTAGTATCACACGCCATCACTTCACTAAATTATAAATATGGAAATGTTTTTATACACGGTTTTCTTAAAGACCTAACTTGACTGTAATCTCACTTTATCACGCTTAAATACAGTTAGGTCACCATTTAACAGTTTGGACCAGCATGTATAATAAAAGCATGTAAAACAACAATAAATGTGTAAGATTAATCAGAAGGGGAAAAGAGACAAAATAAACAAAGTAATAATGAAATATAATAAAACCGGACTCATCAACATAAAGAACCTTTGTAGCTCACAAAAATGCAACAATATTAATAACAGAAAGTTGTTTTACGTGTATGTGTACACATACACACAATGTGTACATATATTACAATTTTAGGTTTCATATACATGATGTATATTATTATTATTATTATTTCCAAGTCTTCGAAATGTATTTTCTTTTATCTAACACAAACAGTTGCCCATTTTGGATGACTGATATACTTACTATTTCAACCCCTTCATGTTGATGAGTCTTCCATAGCGCACCTTTAATACAAACAGTAAATCACGCGAGATTTCACGGTGAGCGAATTGTGGCCCCGAGTGTACCGTTGAGCGGAGTTGTTGACGGAGAGGGAGGAGGAAAGCATTGAGCGGATAAAGATAAGGCTGCATTGAAGGAAACAACATTAAAGTAGGGGGAAATACAGTAAATAACCATGGCGTCAGGGGATACCCTATATATAGAGACGGACGGTTCGGAAATGCCAGCGGAAATAGTGGAACTGCATGAAATCGAAGTAGAAACAATCGAAACCACGGTTGTTGGGGAAGACGGTGAACACCAGCCTATGATCGCCTTACAGCCTCTAGACACAGACGATCCGAACTCGATGCACCCGCACCAGGAGGTAATATTGGTGCAAACCCGTGAGGAGGTGGTAGGTGAGGACGATTCCGAATTGCATACAGATGACGGCTTTGAGGAGCAGATCCTCATACCGGTGCCCGCCGTGGAGGAGGACTTTATTGAACAGACTCTGGTCACTGTGGCCGGGAAAAGCTCGTCGACGGGCCGAATGAGGAAGACTGGAACTGGGAAGAAAACAGGCAAAAAGAGCTACTTAAGCACAGGAGAAATGGGCCGAAAGTGGGAGCAGAAGCAGGTCCAAATAAAAACTCTGGAAGGGGAGTTCTCAGTCACTATGTGGGCTTCGGGTAAGTTGAGTGAATTCCTACAAGCTGGCCCTCGGCTTTGTTCTCAGTGTGTGTGCCGTGTGAGGCTGGCCTACTTGGGGCCTGCTCCTCCGCTAAAGTGGGACAATTTCTTCAGTCCGAGTCACTTAAACCCCTCTCTGAAATGTTTTTGTTTTTATGGGAAGCCATGTTTTATGTGTTGATGGGCGCCGCCATATTTTCCCGGTCTAGAAAGTATGGCGGCCCGAAAAAATGGCGTTTATTTGGCCGACGAAGATGGCGGCGAGTGTGGGAGCGAGTGCTGCTGGCTTCGCTAGGCCGCTGTGGCGCAGTTCACCAGTACGACTGAAGCGGTGCTGCGTTCACGACACGCTCATACATCTCAGTTGCTAGACTTTAAACGCAACATTTTCTTTTTCGAAATAATGAGCCAATCAAATCCACAAAAGCATAAATGTAAATAGTCTGTGCAAAATTACCAGTGAGTATTTACATATAATTAAATTTATTGAATACTACTGAAAATGTATTAACTATATTTATATCCCGTTCATCGTTTTTGGTCCTTTAATGTCAAACATCAGTACGTTGATTTTGAAACAATGTTCCGAAACGATTTCAAATAAGTCTTGGTCTTTTTTAATTATTTATCTTCTATCTAAAAAAAAAAACCTGCTCCTGGCACCTGATTAATCACACTTTTATATTTAAATAACACAATGTTTAAAATCAGTAAACACTGCTGCACCGACATTTTACTGTCATTGAGTCAAATGTGTTTTTCTGTTTGAAAATATTCTGTTTGCTGTGAATCACATGTTTATATTAAATGTTGTAAAGATTTAAAAAGAACCTTTTTAAACCAAAAAACCAAGCACAGATTGGTCTTGCAAGATAAGTGATAGTGCTCTGTGACAAACAACTTTGTCATGTGATCCAAAGTGACAAATACGGTTGTGTTTTTAAAGTGTGTGTAATCAGATATTTCCTGATACCGATCTGTCCTTATGTGCAGACGACAAGAAGGACATAGACCACGAAGAACAAATCACAGGAGAGAACTCACCTCCAGATTATTCCGAGTACATGACTGGGAAGAAGCTGCCTCCAGGGGGCATCCCAGGTATCGACCTGTCTGACCCAAAACAGTTGGCAGAATTTGCACGGTAAGAATAACAGGGCCCAGGTCAATACATTTGTCATATCTAGTGAGTTGGGAAAAAAACATACATAGGGAATAGATCAATGTGCAGGATGTAATGTGGGAAAAATTCAAAAATATACAAAAAGATGTGCAATCAACTGAATAGAGGAAGTGGTTCAAAATTTCATAATAAGCTTGAAGAATGGAGGAATAAATTGGTATGAAACTGAAAATAAGGGAAGTGTTCGTCTTTTGCGGCTTTTTAAGTAAACTTGTTGACATGTTCACACAATCAGGCTCTTTTAAGAGAATCAAACCAAGACTACCTCAGGGTGTTGATCATTGCACAGACTTGATCAACAGATAGGTACATTTTACCCGTGATTCAGAGCAGCAAAGATGTAAAAGTTCCATACGTGTTTTTTTTTCTATTCAAAAACGCTCAATCTGGGTTGTTCTGTGGACCAAGTTCTTCTCCGCACGCTCCACTTTGTGTTCCAACTTGATAAGATTTCATGTTGAAACACTTGATAAGGGGAGAATGACATCAGATATTTGTGTAGTACAGGGCCGTGTACTGTTGTGTAAACACAATTTGAAGCAGGTTTTTGTTTTTGCAGAATGAAGCCAAAAAAGGTAAAAGAAGACGACGCTCCCAGGACGATAGCGTGTCCACACAAAGTGAGTGTGGACTCATTACAGTTGCACTGAAGATACTAAGACCATCGTGCTCGTTCAGATTGTTGTTGTTTTTTTTCCGCATCTCCCATTGACACCAATCTGTAATCTGTTACTGACATCGTGCTCGTTCAGATTGTTGTTTTTTTTCCGCATCTCCTATTGACACCAATCTGTAATCTGTTACTGTCTGTCTTCTCAGGGATGTACCAAAATGTTCAGGGACAATTCAGCCATGCGAAAGCACTTACACACCCACGGCCCTCGTGTGCACGTCTGTGCTGAATGTGGCAAAGCTTTCGTGGAAAGTTCAAAACTCAAGAGGCATCAACTTGTTCACACAGGAGAGAAACCTTTCCAGGTGAGTTACCTATTGTGGCTTCTTTAATCTCTATGACCTCACCCTGGTGTTAATGCAATAGTTGACACCAAATAGTAAGAAATTCGATATGTTTGTATTTTTATATGCATATATATAGTAGCATGGAACAGGGCTTTCAAACGTGTTCTCAGCGCCACCTATAGCCCAAGGAAGGGAAGCTACATGATCTAGGACGTTCAGCTTTGTTAACTGTCCTCTTGTTTGCAGTGCACATTCGAGGGCTGCGGCAAACGATTTTCTCTGGACTTTAACCTGCGCACGCATGTGCGCATCCACACTGGAGATCGCCCGTACGTGTGCCCGTTTGACGGCTGCAACAAAAAGTTTGCCCAGTCCACCAACCTGAAGTCTCACATCCTCACACATGCCAAAGCCAAAAACAACCAGTGAATCTCAGCGGACTCAGGTTTTAAGGACAACTATGTCAACAGGAACACAAACAAACACACACACCGGACTCGGGCGAGGAGCCGTCCTGTGGCCTGCTTCATCAGAACTCACCATAGACGAGTCAAACTGCTAGAACACGACCTTTTGTCTGACTTTTTGATACGAGGAAGGTCTAAACAAGGACGTCATGAACCCGGCACCCTCAGGCCTTCGACCCAACCTTGACGCTACCTGAACAGAACAGTGACAGGTTTCCTCCTGTGAACATGATAATCCACAGATCTTTAAACTTATTTATACTTTAACACCGCTGGTTAACAGATTTTTTGCAGTACAACTCATATTTACAAACACCTTACGCAGTGACACCGTTTCAATTTTGTACGTTTCCCTCTTCAAGTGTGCATATTGTACACGGCATAAACTCTGTGGTGATGATGGTAGTGAGGCTGTCCTGTGTGTTTTTACCCCATCTGGTCTTCTTATTTGGGAGTTTGTATCCAGGACTGATGGGCTGCTTTTGGCATATTTTCATTTTGTACAAAGGAAAGGCAGATTCGTGTAGATAGTGGTGTAATTTTTCAATAGCAATCACTGAATAAAATGTTTCCCCCCCCCCTTGCACTATCAACACAGAAGTCTCATTTGTCCTTTAACTTTCATCACCATTAATGTATTTTTTTGGATGGATCTGATTGAAGTTCTCCACCTTCTTCAGGTCACAACTATCTGCTGATATCTGTCTTTAGGTTTCACCTAAATACAGGAAAGTGTTTTGACAAATTTTAGAATGGCAATTTACCTTCATTAATCATGATTAATGATAATCAAGATTGATCATGATAGTGATTAATCATGACTAATCTTTAGAAAACCTGTGATTTATCATTTGATTAAACATTTGAATGAATAGGCAGCCCTAGTTTTTACCTGCTGTCCAACCTGCATCGTCCCATTTCTTTGTCACCAGCCTCGTGTTCCATTTGCCTCAGTGACCGCTCTGATCACAGAATCATAAATAATCAGTTCAGAGGTGAGAGAACAAGTCATAAGATCATCATCACAAGCTGTTACAACAGACTTTGCAAGAAACAAAACAGAAAGTGCAGCTTATATAATTTCGTTAAAAAAACAAACAACTGAATCTAAATGATGTTTGAATTTCAGTTCCTCCAGACGGAGATGTAAATGAATCCACAGTAGTATCTGGTAAGATACATTTAACTTTACGAGTTTTAAGATTGTAATTTGTTGACAAGAACAAATTGAATGTTTTTTTAATGATTTAAACCTCAAGAGTTTCAACTTCAAAACCCAATGAAAAAATAGGATACCAAATAATCTCCAATCTTTATTAAAAATGCTGAGCAGATACACATTTGATCATTAAATCAACTTTCAAATATTTCTAGCAGCTTCAAAGAGACCTGATGGAGCTGTCACTCATACTTCACACTCAACTGACTCTTTCCGTTTCTCTAATTTGACTCAGAAACACAAACCTTGTGAGGCAGTGGTTCCCAAATTGAGCGGCGCAGCCGGTTTAATCGAGATAATTTGAAGTATTTTTATTTGTGCAAAAGTTGGAAAATTTCACTGATAAATTATCTTTTTTGTTTCATGAGAATATGTGTTTTTAGGAATCATGTCTGTTTTTTGAAACAGTCACGTTTGGGGGCGGGGCTGAATCTGCAGAAAAGGTTTGGGAACCACTGTCCTAATCGGTCAGAATGAAAGACCAGCTCTAAGAAAAGAAGGAATTAAAAGTAAAAAAAAAAAAAAAAAAAAAACCATAGATGGTGCCTTACATTGTTCAAATATTTCAACACTCATATCGCAGTGCAGTTTGGTCACAGAAAACCAAAGTTAAAAAACACTGTAAAAAGTTTTCCAGATTAAACAGGGAAATATTTTAAAGGGATATTTCTAAAAACATGTAAATTTATCTTTTGACTTAAACGACAAACATAGAACCCAGAGTCATATGGCATCATTATCCCACTGAGGCTGTCTGTCCTCTAACAACAACAACAACCCAACAACCCTGCATCTGTGAAACTGGACAATTATTGCATCTTAAATTTGATATGTTTTTTTTTCTTTTTAAGACAAGCTTCACTTATTTACGAAGGTGTGATGCATAGAAAACTACATTCAAGAAGCTTCAGGTAAGTGTGAACATTTGCCTGTAAATTTGTTTCAGAGAAATCTGGGTCAGAAGAACATTTCAGCATCAGAGAAGAGAGAGAGAGAAAGATATTAGCTGCAGTGTTGCATTAATAATGCACAATCCCTGACCTAAAATAAAGTACAGGAATAAAAAATAAAATTCAGCTGAAATCACAAGTACTAAAAAGAATTTGTTTTTGTTTTTGGGCTAATAAACCCTGGAGAATGGCTGACATTTAACTGTATTGATAAAAAGGAGACATCAGTGTTGACAACGTTACCCTCAGTTACATCCTGCATTCTTTGGCATCAGGTACCGGAACAGTAAGGATGGGTGTGCTGTGCTTTTACTCTGTCATTAGGGCAGCTAGCAGTGCAGGGTAGTTCGGTGTCCCCCAGCCGGTCACGGGGTCCCAGGACGGTGCAGCACAGAAACCTTTCCCCTGGACCTGCTCGTCCAAACAGCCCAGGTGACAGCCCTCAGTCACCTGGAGACAATAAAGGAGACGTTTGTGTCTTTTCAACTAAATGTCTGAAAAGAAAATGCTGCAGTGACAAGTGTCATGTAACACAGAGGTGCTCAAACGTAGGGTCTCAGCCCGGCGACAGAACGTGGTTCTAACCTTTGTGGCCATGCTAATCAATTTTCTATAGGTTCTGGTCTGTAACAGGAGGACACGTGAGTTTAAGGACGACTGTCCTCGTCTATGGGGACAACGTGACTTACATCAAACAGAGCTTGTCCCTTTAGCTTGTAGAGGCGGGGGTTGAGGAAGCCCAGTGGAGGCAGACCCTTGGTCAGTCGATGGTCATTCATGAGAGACAGCATTCCTCCAACCACGGGGGTGGACGCCTGCAGGAGCCATCACCAGATGAGATCCAGTTAAATGACTTTGTAACAGATGAATCCAAATAACTGTTCATCAGAGTGTATTAGTTATTTGATATCAGCCATTTTATAAAAAAAAAAAAAAAAAACAGAGGGGGAAGTGAGACAAATGACCTGAATCTGATCTGAAGTACACTCAGGATGAAGGAAGTGAACACAGAAATAAATAATATAAAGTTAATGTTTGTTATTCATTACCGAAGTCCCAGACACCCAGGGAACAGGGACCCTGTTGATGACGACCCAGTAATTATCCGACAGAGCAGCCATGTCTGGATAGGCTCTGCCACTGGGATTGTAGTAGGAGCCAGGAGGAAGAGTGGCCGCCACTGTCTTCAGATAGGCCTCCACTGCAGCCACCTGCAGCCACACACACACACAAACACACACACAGACAGTCAACAACGGCCCTGTGTGCAATAACTGGGAAAGTCTGATCAGATGCTCTGACGGTCATTACCTGGTAGTCAGGCATCTTGAAGACGTTGCTAAAACCTCCTCCACTGATGTAATCAGTGACTTCGTACGTGACCTGGAAAGGATTCTTGAAGGAAGTTCCACCTACTGTGGTTACGTAGGGGCTGGAAACGAACCAATGAGCACAAAGAGTTTGAGTTAAACAGCACTCAATAATGTTCATATGCAACACATCATGATTTCAACTTTTAATTACAACAAACACAACCACAACAAGGTCATAGGTCATAGAAATCACTGTAAAAAAATGAAGTGGTAAGAGAGTGGTAACAAATGTAAAAGTAACAAAAGGTTTTTAAAATGTGTCAGTATTTCACCTGGAGGCTGGAAAACTGGGCCTGAAGGTGTTCTGTGCTCCTGAATGTCTGCAGCCAGCACCGCTGTCGCCTGGAACGAAGGAACCAAGACAGGAATAACGTGAGTTCAACTGAACTGTTGGCTTGGTGAAGGGATATATTACATAAACAGTCTGTAACGTCTGTGATTCACTGCAGTCCTCCATCGTCACTGACCAGAAGCGAACAGCAGCGTGATCCCTCTGACCCCGGCCTTCATGAACTCCGTGTTGATGCGCGTCATGTAGGCCGTGGACAGACTGTCCTCGTCGTCACCGTAGCTGATGGTGTGGACCCAGGGCAGGCCGGACATGTTGCTGAGCAGAACCATCCACTGAAGGAACGGCTCCTGAGACTCGTGACGACCTGCGAGAAGAAGAAGAAGAAGAAGAAGAGGAGGAGACATGAATGAATGTGTGTGTGTGTGAATGAGACACACATGACAACGGTGATAAATTGACTGGCAAAAATACTACCATGAATTCAATTGAAACTTATTACTGACTTGTTTCTCTTTTGACTTTGAATCCCATCAGACATGGCATTATTTCTGCCTTTTACAATTTATTTTTATTAATGTCAGGTAAAACAAAAAGACGAAATACAGAAGTACACAATTTTCCTACTCTCCATCTCTGAAGTCACTCCAAATGACTGAACTAAGAATGAATTGAACTGGTGATATTTTGGTGATATTTTGGTTTTGGTTCCCAAAATAGGGGGTGGGACCCAATTAGAGGGCACAGCACTTGAAAGGATTTTAAAAAATATTATTTTCTTTGTTTATTGAGAAAACTGGCTTTGCAAGAATTGAATCGTTTTTTTTAAATTTCAGTGGAAAAGCAACGACACCTGTGAATGAGTTGACGTAGGGAGAAGGGAGGGGCGTGACTAGAGGGGGCACCCATATATAAAACTGGTCAAGCTACATAAAAAAAAAAGGTTCTCACACACACACACACACACACACACAGACACAGCACGGTTGGTGAAGACCCAGGTGGGGATGTTTGCCCCCGTGCTCATGATGTACTCTATATCCAGACTGGCCTCGATCCCAGCCTTCCCTGCTCCCTGTTGGCCGACCACTCTCTCCACCTGTGACAGATGCTGGAAGCCTTCACCAAACATGCTCATGAACTCTGCCAGGTCTGCTGGGTGATAATACTGCTCCAGGAACTGTCAGAGAGGAGAGAGAGAGAGAGAGCGACAGACCCCAGAGTGAAACCCCCCAGGCCTGGACCACATGACCAGCTCCACTGAACACTTCATGTGGGGTCATACCTGAGCTACAGCCTGGCTGTTGTTCTGACCTTTCCCCACATCAGCGGCTGTCAGGTTGTATCGAGCCCTCAGGACAGCAGGAGTCACTCCTAGGTGCACTCCTTCCTCAGGAGACTTTTGGACTTTGGGGAGTTTTTGTCCGTTGGGAGGGAAACGGTGAAGACCACCCACTTTGGAAAGAAAAAGGAAACAGAGAGACTTTCTGGTATTAATCCAGTCACAAATATATAAGACAGTGATAAAAACAACACTGACCAAAGTCCAGGTGCTGGTGGACGTCATCATGAACAGAGTACGGAGATGAAGACCTCACTATAGACTGTCCTTCTCTGACATAATGGTGAAACCTGCTCCCAGGAAGCAACGTCTCTGCAGTCCTTCAATACAGCAACAGAAACAAAGGGGGATAATGTATGCACCTGCATGACCAGCAGGGGGAAACGTTACACCTGGAAACCCTGGTATTAATCAGTCCAACGTATGCTCTGTGGGAAACATCTGAAGTGAAGTGAAAGTGAAGTGAAAGTGAACTAGTTGTCATTGTGACACAGCACACCACATATGTGACCTCACCAAAGTCAGCAGGGGGCAGTGTGCAGGGATTGAAAAGCAGGCGTGCTAACCGCTACACTATAGAACCACATTATAATATAATATAACATGATAATCACTGATCACTGATGACCTCACAGACATATCCAAGCAAGTGACTTACTCAGAAAAAGAAAAAAAAACTCATTCTGATTTCTTGTGTTAGCTTAAAATCAATTTTAGCCAAATCCCCTCCTAAATTTAATATATATATATTTATATATAATAATAATTCAGTCCCTTAATCGTCCCAAAATGGGGGAATTTTACAGCACGAGTCTTTGCAATCCACACTGGCTGCCACACGAGGCACCATTACAGCTATCCTTAGGAGCTCCAGTGTGCAGACGTGCTAACTGCTACACAATGTACCATTATAGCAACTCCATGTCACTTTGATTTGAGTATGAAACCACAGAAAAAGGGAACTCACATGAGAGAAACACTCACACACTCACAGAACAAGCTGCAGCAGAGAATGTACTTTCTGTGTTGTAACTGTGTCAAAAGCAAACTAATGTCACTGTAAGCGGGGGGGGTGGCAAAAAATAAAAGTGCTTACTCTGCAGTCATGGTTTAATGTCACTGTAAGCGACATATAAAAGTGCTTACTCTGCAGTCATGGTGCACTGCAAAAAGTCCTGGGTGCTAACAGTGAGGCAGTTTGTAACCCCATGACTGTGAAGCCAGTGACGCACGGCCTTGTGGGTAGTGTCAGAAGGAGCGACCAGGTGGGCCACTTCCTCCAGGCTGTAATATTTACCTGCAGAAGAGAAAGGAATTCCCGTCACCAGGTCAGTCATTAGTCCAATCAGCTAATTCAGTTCCAAACCATCGTCCTACCATACTGGGCTGAGTCAGGGTCCGACACCAGTCTGAGCACCTCCTGCAGCAGGTCAACATTCTCCTGCTTCAGAGCAAAGGTCAACACCAACTCCACTGACGGGTCGACCCGGCCGGTTTCAGTCCACTCATCTGGTGACCTGCAGAAAAAGAGAAAAATCTAAAGACCGCTTTTCAACATCCCTGGGCTTCTGTATCCTACAGCAGATCATGTAAACGGCAGAAACACTGAATTTACTCTTTATTTATTTGACCAAAGGTCGCTTTATTGTAGCAACTTATTTACTAAAGCATTTGTCATTCTCTGCAGGACACAAATAAACATTACTATCAATATCACTCATTTCTCTGTCACTCTTGTCTCCATTTTTGAGAAGCTGAACGCAGACAAATTCTCCAAATGTTTTACTGCCCCTGCAGGTGACTGCTCCTTACACAGAGCACTACTGCTCTGTGGAGCCGTACATCCCCAACAGTGGAATGGCAAATTAATTATTAACATAATTTGGAACAAAATTTCATGTGTTAAAATGCACTCCGCAACACATTCATACCAATTTTTTTTATCACATTACATTATTATTATTTCCAACAGTCAGTCTAGCAAAGCCATGGTGATTTTTTTTAACCAGGTAATTGTGATTTATGTTGAAAAGAGACATTAACTGTCAAGTAAAAATTAAAACTAAAAATTAAAAAAATAATCAAACAACCAAACAACATGGGTTACAGGAAAAACTGTTGAATGTTCTGGTATCTTTGTATTTTTATTTAGTTTTTATCAGATCTACGGAACTGTAAACTAGACTTCCTGCTGCACGGACTGGATCAGAAAAGGTTCAGTGTCAGAATGGGGGGGGTTGGAGTGGGGGAAGGATGAGCAGCTCACAAGACATTCTGGTCAAATTCCAGGTACCCGGTCCACACCACTGAGCTGAACGACAGGAGGTAGGTTAGAGTCAGTCTGTCGGGAAGAAAAACAAGTCATTAACACAAATACGTTCCTGGTAATGATCAAAAACAACTCTTTGAAACACAAGGTTTCATCAGTAACTGATCTGAAGACTCACATGGAGATCAAGTTACCACAGATGTAAAAAAAAAAAAACAAACAAACAAGAAAACAATCAATATTAATGGGTACAAACAGTTGAAGTTCAACACAACCCTGTAACCTTTGTTGTGCGCTGTTGTTAGCTGCGGTTGCAGCAAATGTTCAATATCTAGGTCAACGCACAGTCAGGAAACACAGCAATGGTGAAAGAAAAGTGTCGACACTTCCCGCCAACTCTTCTCTCACACGTTTGTCCACATAAAAATAATTAAAAACACGCAGAAACGTAAAGCTCACTCACAGTGTTCCCATCGTGTCCTCCGCAGTCTCTCTGCCACACCAACCGGTCTGAGCGACGCTCCTGACGCTTGGGCCACGTGATGATCTGTCACGTGACTAGTGGTGGTTGCTTCCTTCGATATTACCTTCGCCAACTCTTGGCGAAGGTAATATCTTTATTCTTGGTGGTGTATTTATCAGAGATTTTAATACAATTATTGCTGTATTACATAAACACGGAGTTGCCCTCGTTATTTACACATTTTAATAAGTACTTAGAATAGAACACGCAATGTTTTCCTAAAAAAAGGTATTATATAGTAGGATTTGGTAGCATCTAGTGGTGACATTCGGTATTACGGCTGAATCTTCTTCGCGTGACCACTTCAAGCATAGAACAGTCAGAACATAAAAGGTTTAAAAAGACGTACATCGCTAGTGATCCAACATGGCTGCCGCCCAAATGTACACATTAGATACTGTTTTTACTTTCATAGAAATTTTAAAAAGCTTAAATTATAAATTACGCCAAAAAAGCACCAGTGATATTTTTAATTATCTTTATATCCTTCCCCACCAGGTGTATGCGGTCCCTGGTGGTATGCGGGGGCATTGCAGGGGTTACACAGGGTTTTTGATATGTAACGGCTAGGTTAAGATGGGGTTATGATAATAGTTTTGTAGTTTTTCTTGGAAGAAAACATTAGTTTAATAGAGCAAATATAGAAGTATTATTAATAAATTTTAACATCAAATATGTAGTAAAAAAAGATACTCAAGCCAAGTTAATGTTTCTGCTGTAAAATGTATAAAGACACAGGTATTTATTTTTCTTTAGCAAACTTAACAGCATATTCCACTATTATTTTCATTACAAGGAGCGGCAAAATAATATCGCTCACGCATATTGTTTGCCTTAAATTAGAATTTAAATTTAATTGCCTTTATGTAGCTTCTGGTATTATACTGACAATATTTAACATTGTAAACCCTCCTCCCCAGGAGTGTTTATTGGAGTGGCAGAAGATTAGAAAATCAAATCTGGAATATCCTTAAAAAACAGTTCTAATCCAGCCAGAGCTGAGATCAAGTTTATTTTAAGCACAAAAGAAAATGTACAAATGTGACATCAGTTGATTTTAAATTCTCTACCCATTAAAAACACAACTCCCCTCATGTCTGTAAAACAATGTTTTTGTATAATTTAACAACAAAAGGTTTTTTTTTTCTTTTGGAGATATAATGAATGACAACAAAGCTATTTAAGAAATTTGTGTTGGGAAAAAAGCAGCAAACAGGTGAAGGTGGGCTAATTTAAAGATATTTACACCTTTAAAAGTAATCATCGATTTTATACACTGAACTTTTGACAGCCCATCAGAATATTTTGTTAGTTATATTGGATGAATTATTTAAAAAATGCATCTTTGTCACTACAGTAAATGGATTGTGGATGCTTTTCTTTTCTTGTTTTGGAGATTTATGGCACTAGCACCACATTTTATTGGTCAACTTCTGAGAAGTAGTAATCTTCCTCTTCACTGTCAGACACCATGTCTTCATGTCCTGGGAACATCTCCCAAACAGCAAAATTATCATTTGCTAAGAAAGACAAGAAACAGCAGTTGAATGACTAAATGACGGCAATTAAAAAACATAAACCCTTCAAAAAAAATCAGATGTGACTAGACCTTTTAACTCGTGTTTTGTATTCAGATGTTACCAATAAAATTGCACACATTGACTGGTTACACTAGCTTTTTTGCTCATTATTTGTTCAATTTATGTATTTTTTTTAAAACCTAATCATTAGTTGTTCTTCAGCCATTTTAAGCCATTTAGTTTTCACTAGATTAAATCAATTGTTTTTTAGCTAGTTGTTTTTGAGTAACTTGTCATTTCAAGATCATATTTAAATTAGACTTTTGACTAAAATGCAGTAATCTGCTGGCCATTTTATGTTTGTTTTTTTTTAAGTTAACTTTGTAGTTGAATTCTTTTCTAAGATAAATTTGACCTACGACACTAAATCGGCACTAATCATACATGTTACCACTGCCCTAATAAAAGTATTGTTGATTGTTCTATAGGTTGACCTTTAATCAAAGACTTATCTGTAAAGATAACTCCACACATTACTCTTACACTGGTACCAAGTATGAGCGCGAGGACCGCGGCTCCTCTGTTAACCTACCTGTGTTAGCACATCTCGTCATTTTTTGTTTCAGGGTTGGCGTGGGTGAAAACCTCTGCAAAGACAACACAATGGAAATGAGACGCTAATTTCCAGTTTGTTACAAATCATCCATGATGCTTCACTCCTTCACAGTCTCAGACACTGATCTGAATGGAACTTTACCTTTAAGGAGTGAGACTGTTTATAAACATTGAACTGACTCTTTTTCGTCCTTTTCTGGAGATGGTAGACATATTTGTCATCTTTGTCCCTAGAAATATAACATGTTCTTGAGTCAACACTGATAAACCACGATAATAAGTCATCGTCATCATCATCTTCATCATACCAGTCTGCGGAGCCCATCATCCCGGGAGTGATGTGCAGACACTGAGGAGTTTTCGCGTCAGGAAAAACTCTTGACGTGGGGGTCAGAGGCTCCAAGTCCTTCACTGTGAACTCGTTCTCTTCGCTCATACAAATGGACGGAACCTGGGTTTTAAAATTAATATTGACACCGAAATGTTAACCGTAAACGTAAAAAAACAAAAACAAACAAAAAACATTCTTAGAGTCACTGACGCTAAGCTAGTAGTTGTTGTCCATGTACATTGAACATCCGCTTGATGTTTTCAGTTTATGCCCATTTTTACACAAAATTAAAAAATCATTTGCGATATAAATCACGTGATACCACGGACATTTTACCACAGACCGCGATATTTTTCTGTATTAGCATGATATGTTACCAGCTCCTCACGTCGGTATATTTAATGTAATGAAATGTAATTTTTTCAATCAAAAAAACAAAACAAAAAACAACTTAGAAGAACAAGGCAAACCTCGACGCGTTTGGCGTGCATGTACGCAGAGGAGAAGGCGTCGTCAGCGTCGTCTTTCGGCATGTCTTCGAGAAACTTCCGCACCTGCTGCTTCCTCTTAAATGTCCCCACTTTGGCAGATATAACACGAGGTTCTGCAACTAAATACAGATTAATGGAGCTGTCAGTTAGGTCTGTAAAACCTCCTGTAGATAAACACCATTAAAAAAAAGAAAGTTTGAAATGCACGGCGGAGGTCCATCGTTAAACAATTCCAGATACAGAAAATACTCAACGGTAAAGGGACGCGGTTCCCAAAAGTGTTTCAAGGGTCGCGGGCAGAGATGGAGCCAATAACCGCAGTCACCAGGTGAGGGCGGTATACACAAACTAAACCAAACGCAAACAACTTTCTCTGTGTATTTTTAAGGACAGTAATGCTGAAGCGGAGCACGTCAGATCAAAAGGTTGTCCCGGTAGTAAACTGTTCATTTACCTTGCTCTGTTGTGGCTTCCATTTTTCCTTTTTGGGATTTTTTTGCATTCTTCACAGGAGTCTGTGGTTTTCCCAGAGACGTGTGCTGGTTGTGACACTCTTCTGCAGAGCGGCCCACCGCCTTCGCTACTTTGGCCCAGTACCCGGACAGGTGCTTAGGATAGTATGACACGGCCCTGGAAAACAGGTGGATCAGTGAAAGCATGACTTAAAGTCAGAAATGTGCTACGGTGAGAGCACAGGAACCCAGGACTTACTCTCGTAGCCTCATGAGCTCAGCCTCAGTCCACTTGTCTTCACTCTGGTCTTCAATCACGGCCTGTTTGTGTGACTTGCGTGTTGTTTTGGAACTCGTCAACTTGAGCGGCGACCTTGTTGGTGGTGAAGGTTTGGTGCGTTTGTTCTGATTGTTTTTTGTTAGTATCAGCGCCTTCTTGGTGTTTTGGTTTTTGCGTTTACTGTTTTTTTTCTCAGACGGCTCAGACGAGTCACTCGTTGAAGACAATCTGCTCACGTGGGGTCTGTTTCGATCGTCCCTGTCTTTCTTACTCGGACCTCCTCTGTCCTTTTTACGTCTCGGCTCAGACGAGTCACTCGTTGAAGACAATCTGCTCACGTGTGGTTTGTTTTGATCGTCCCTGTCTTTCTTTCTACGACCTCTTTTGTCCTTTTTCCATTTTGGCTCAGACGAGTCACTCGTTGAAGACAATCTGCTCACGTGTGGTCTGTTTCGATCGTCCCTGTCTTTCTTTCTACGACCTCTTTTGTCCTTTTTCCATTTTGGCTCAGACGAGTCACTCGTTGACGACAATCTGTTCACGTGTGGTCTGTTTCGATCGTCCCTGTCTTTCTTCCTACGACCTCCTCTGTCCTTTTTCTGTCTCTGAGGAGTCATCTCTTCCGAGGACTCCGAGGACTGTTGCTGTGATGTTTCTGGTGACGATGGAATGGTTTGTTTGGGCGGCTTTACTGGAGGCTTTTTTGTGTTGTTTGTCCGTTTTCCAGACCTCAGTGGTGCAGTCTTATCGGGCTGTCCCTGCTTTCGAGGGATGGCGTCAACGGATGACCTTTTTTCCAAAGGCTGGCTCCTTTTACTAGACCTGGTGGATGTGACAAAGCTGTTTCCAGTACTGCCATTTGTCTCTGCAGGAGACACGGGCTGAGTTGTGGACATTTGGACATCTTGGCTGAGCTTGGTTTGACTGGCCTTTCGGACTGGAGGCTTGGTCTTCCTCAGCAGTACTGACGCCTCTCCATCACTGCCTGGAAACACAGACCAGAGATTATACACCAATCACAAAGACTCTACAGGCTTTAAGACCTGGGATAACCGTACCTTCGCTGCTTGATGGGAACACATTCTTTGATTGTTTTTCCCTCTTCGACACGGTGGTCTGCAACAACAAATAATGTCAGGACTCTTTGTCACTAAATGTCTGAATACAGTCATAAAACACAGAGGTCCTTACAGGGAGAAGGACTGAAGAATCATAACAATTGTGGATGGTAACGTTCATGTCTGCATCCAGAATAACTCTCCCTCCTTTCCAGTACTCCAGGGGAGGTTTTATTGTCCTTCCACTCCGAGACACTTTAGCAGCTGAAGAGGAGGTGGAGGAGTCGAGGGAAGGAAGGGGATCAGCTGTGGAAATGGAAAAGAGAGTGGTTACCAACCAAAACACTGGGATAAAAACAGGTGTGAGCAACAATCAATAGTGCCATGATTTTACTGATAACCTGGGTGGACAGGAAATGTGTACAGAAGGTAAAACACACCTCTGGTTAAAGTGCAAATATAAAATAAAGAAAAGAAAATAAATATAGCAAAAAGCCCTGAACTTTAGAAATAAAAGACTTGGTGAAGCGAAAGTACTCCGACGTCATGTGACTCAATGAAAACCATATTAAATAAATAAAAAGCCAGTACTGACAATCCCACTTATTGTATTCTCCACGTTTGGGTTTGGTGGCATTTATTCAATTTCTCTTTTACTCACGTGTCTTGAAAGTCTCAGGTTTCTTCTTCTCGACGGAGGACATTGAGGACGTCTCAGGTTTCTTCTTCTTGACAGAGGGCATTGAGGACGTCTCAGGTTTCTTCTTCTTGACGGAGGGCATTGAGGATGTCTCAGGTTTTTCTTCTGAAACCTCAGCTTTTCTCTTCTCTGGTTTCTTTGTCCCTCTACTGTGGTGACAACAAACAAAGTTATTCTACCTCGACCAAAACGATAATGTTTACATTATAGTACATTTGCAAGTCTAGTGAAATTATAATAGTCCTTACTCTCTGGACTCCGACAACAACTTTTCATAAAGTAACTTCCAGTCTGAAGGGAAACCACTGACAAAGTTCTTCAGAAACCACTTTGGAAACCCTGTAGGAAGACAAACACGACCATAAAGAAAAATAGAATTAAAAAATGTTATTTTTCAATAAAATCACTGTAAAAGGTTAGATTGTTGATATATATATTTATAAGTTATTTTTCAATAAAATCGTTGTAAAATGTTAGATTGTTGATATATATATTTATAATAAATGAAATGTTCACTGACTCACCCACATTGACATGCTTGCTCATTTTGCCAACCAAAATGTAAATTCTACCAGTGAGAGTCTTCAGCACAGAGTTAGAAATCCTCTCAACAATGATGTTGCTGTTCCATGGTATGTTGTCCTTCCTGGTAGTCAGGAAAAAAAAACATGTTAAACATTACACCTTGGCTCGTTTAACTGTACTGCACTAATTAAAGACCATTATGAGGTGTGTAACAAACACTGACTTGTGGACCCCGTCCACAAATAGGCCCATACTGTTTTTCCTCACGATCCAGTTTTTGAGATATATGACACTGTCCTGTAAAAGAGGACACAACATTTACCTAACTACAGACACATACTGCATATATATATATGTATGTCTATATTTGCATATATATAGTATACATACACACATATATACATACATATAAATATATTCACCCATTTCTATTAAATACTGTAATCACTATAACATTTTATTAATTTTACAACCACCATTTAAACCCTAAATTCATCCTGGTTTAATGACACGTGCATTTCTACTCACACTAGGGAATTGTGGACACCTGGACCAATTTTTCTCCGGTTGCCTTCTAGGGATGGAGAATCTTGGTGTATTGAGTAGAACTGGGTCTTCAAGCAAAATGGGTTCCATTGGGATAGTGGACACCTGGCTTTCCGTCTCAGTAACCATTCCACTCTCAGCGTCCTCTGTTTGAGCCACGTCAGGAGAGGACAGAGAAGACCGTGTGTTCTGATAAGGCTTGGCTGAGGAGATAAATATGCAATGTTGTGTGCATGAAGGTATTGACAAAAGCAGTGGTAACGTACAGAGCATTTTCATTTGCTGCTGACCTTCACTGAAGAGATTCCTTGAGCTTCTTCTGACTTCGTGAGCTTCTGGTTGGGCCCTGATTCTTTGATTTTCCCTCTCCTTCATTAAAGCAAACATCTTGGCTGGCGTCATAATAGGAACTTTTTCCAACACCACATGTAAACCTTTGAAACATTTAGGACACCAATGAAAAAAGAAAATATAATTAATAATTTCCATTTTTGACTTTGTCTTCATTATCTCTTGTCACCCCTTTACTATTGACTTTTTTGCATGTAATTTATGTGTAACCTACCAAGATCTTTGATGACTGTTGAAAACACTATTAGTTGAAAACACTAATAACTACAACTATTAGTGTTGTAGCTAGCCACTGACATTTGGGTTGTTTGTTGTTGTTTTTTGTTTGTTTTTTTTTTCAAAGTAGCTAGCCACTGACATTGGGGTTGTTGGTTTTTTGTTTTTTTTTTGTTAATTAAAACGTTTCTCGGGTACATTTTTATGTTGCACAAACTTTTAACCGTGTAACATGAAAAATGTATTTTGGCCAACGCTTTAATTTAAGTTGTAAAATTAGCTTGCAGCGTAAAAAGTAAATAAGCAATATCTAACCACTTTAACAGTGAAGCTAACGTTTGTGCTATTGTTTTGGTAAGCATTTAAACGTCTTTGGCTATCCTGAAGCCTTTTCTGCTAATATATATAATATATTCCGCATAAATAGCACATCTTTAACAGTTCCCCACCGTAACACAGTTTCGTAAAGTCCACAGATATTCTGCACCAGTGTCTTACGTTTGTCTGGGATGATTGTTGGTGTTGGGATCAGGTGCACCAGTGTCTTACGTTTATCTGGGATGATTGTTGGTGTTGGGATCATAGGTTCACGATCACTCTGCCTCGTCTGTGGTTGCTGGGCAGAAAACCTTCTCACGTCACCCAGATACTCCTCGTCCTGTGTGTAGTCTTCGCTTGAGGCGATGGTTATGATCCTTTTTCGTGGTTGACGCAGAACTTCACTGTTGATGCCACTTGTACTGTTGTTGATTTGACTCAAATTAGACTGTTCACATTTCCTCGTCCTCAGCCTCATCTTCAAGGGAGACACCAGTTTTGATGGGGACTGAAGTTCGTCTGCACGGGTCCTATCATGCCCGGACACGGCCCACACACGGCCGTTTTCCTCAGACAGTACTTTTTGTTTTGCTTCTCTGGAACTTATGAATCCCCCAGGATCTCTGAAGTGGTCTCTGTGAGAATAAGTTACGGCCGTAGACTCTAGGAAAGATCGCTTGGACGCCATGTTGCACGACATAAACATAGGTCTAGACTTATTCAGACCAAACGTATCATCTGGTTCTCCACACTGAAACCTGGATGACTTCTGTGGAGTGGATATCGGTGAAAGAGTCTGTGGCTGAACGTCACCGTGGTAAAACCCAAACCGACCGTGCTCCTGAATCGGGTCTGGAAGAACATAGGTGGATATTGGTGAGAGGGTCTGTGGCTGGACATCCAATCTCCTCCTGGGAGATATTAATTCTCCTCCGTATCTTTCTCTGCTGCATTGCGCTGCTTCTTTCTGTACTCTCGATTTGAGCTTCGCAAAAATCTTGGCAGGGGATTCGATCCGTGGGAGTCTGTCTTGAAAGAGGTTTTGATAAGAGGACATAGCTCTTGTTTCCGAGTTGGTAGATTGTTGTTGTTCATCCGTGTTGTACGCTAACAGCTCGCACAGTCGCCTCTAT